GATCCTGACACTATTTACCTGTTCCTTCTTTTCCATTCTACCCACCTACTTATGACCCTGTGTTTAATATACTCTCAGACATTTCCTCATTTTTGTTGACTGCCAAGCTTCTCTCCATCCTTACTTAATCTTAACAGATCTTTAAGAAGCCATTCCTTAGCTTTTATTCTGAATTAGTTGACTTCTCCCCTTGTTTTCATGACTTCCATTATTCACTTAAAAATACTAATTGAGTTCTAAACCATGTGGTAAGAATAAGGAGAGGAAAACCAGTTCGGGGATCATTGTAATGATCCAGGTAAGTGAAGATGGCAGGCTACAGTAAGGGGGTACCACCAACAGGGCCAGGAGCAGATCTAGAAAATTTGGGGAGTGGATGTGGATGAACTTGATGATCAAATTGTGAACCCAAACTGGAAGTGGGAGAAATCAAGGATGGGGCAGACTGCCCAGCTTGCTATCAGTTGTCCATAACTTGGTACAAGACCCTGTACATTACAGATATTTAATAAGTACCTAATAAGTGACTGAGTTTTCTTGCTTAAGCACTTTTTCAACTGAGGTGCCATTTTCTGCTTTGGGTAACATAGGTTCACTTGGGAGGTGACTGGTAGTTTCATTTTCTAGTAGATCTACTTCTGGAAGTCTGTAAAACACACCTGATAATATCCAGATAATGACAATCAGTTAAACTCAAGGGACATCAGAGGTGGAGTTTTTCCATTAAAAACAAACAAACAAACAAACAAAACCTACTTCATATCATCATCTGTTTTGTGTCTGTCGCCTCTCTTCCTGAAGTCTCATTCCTAATAGTCTAGGTTCCCAGCACCTAACACCATACCTTCTATACACTGATGTGCAGTGTTTGTTAATGAAGTGAATAATTTTCTTAAAAACATCTGTGGAGGGGCCCCCAAACAGCTTGACTACACAGCTGCCATGACAGGCTTAGAGGCCCAGACACAGCTTCTGTGACAGGCTTACTGGCAGGCAACACCAAGATCCAGGAAATGCTATAAGCTGACACCACCCAGGGATCCACCAAGGGACAGGGAAGTACCTAAAGCTAATCAGGGTCCTGAACCCTGGAAATCCCATCACCCTAACCTCTGCTATGATAAAAAGCCTACCCTGCCTGGGCTCAGGGCTGTCTGCTCACCGCTGCATCAGACAGATACAGGGACCAAGCCCCAGAGCTCAAAATAAAGGCTCTTTGCTTTTACATGTGGGATTCAGTCTCCATGGTAGTCTTTTGGGGGTCCCCACAATCTGGGCATAACAAACAACAAAACCTTTTTTCCTTCCTTCCTTCCTTCCTTCATTCCGTCCGTCCGTCCGTCCGCCCGTCCGTCCGCGTGCGCGTGCGTGTGCGTGTGCATGTGTGTGTGTGTGTAGGTCAGAGGACAGCTTTCAAGAGTTGGTTCTCTCTTCCCACTGTGTGGGGTCCAGGGAAGAAAAGGAAGTCATAGGATTTAGTTAAGAGCCTTTACCCATGAAGTTGTCTTGTTAGCCCAAGAGTCACTTTTTTAAATATGGTGCCTCTGACAGGAGAAAAAAATTGTAAAAAGCCTCAAAACCATTTTTTAAAAATATGTGAAATTTGATTCTATTTGTCCTCCCAATGAATTTATATTTTCTATGGGAAATAAAGGATGACAAAATATCCCATTCAGTTTTACAATCCGAAAACAGTATTCCAATATTTAATATGCAGTAGAATATTGTAATGCTGTCTGGTCATATTAGCATTTGAACATGTCACATTAGGGCTGATTTATAAATTCTGTGGTGGTATCATTGATAACCTCATTCTGTTTACTCATGAATAATATTTACTGTTGTCTTAAAAATGATGACCATCCAGGAATTGCAGTCTGAAGTGAAATTATAAAAATTCATTTTATGTCAAGGACATCTGACAGGGAACCTTTAAATTACTCATTAAGAGGAATTAATGAATGTAGACATATATACCAAAGAATAAACATGCAGGAATACGATTCTACACTTGCTGAACATCTCATATGAGAGGAATCACCAGTGCCATTGTGGCTTGCTGCCATCACAGGTAACACAGGAAATACAGAACTCTTTATTCATGGGTGTCATGATATGCTCTGAGTATATTTACTAGTTGATTTTGAATAAATAGGTAAGATGTGTAATTGTTTGTTATATTCTTGAGTTAGTGTTATAGAGCATAACACTACTGAAGCATAACACAGTGAAGCGTCGCTACACTGAAACTACAGAACAATTTAACATGGAAAATTCCAGTAACATATTTGTGTGTTCAGTATAGTCACTGGGTGGCGCTGCTGTATCGATTTTAACCTTACTGAGACTTCCATTCCAGTTCTTTTACATAAGCAATCCAAACTACAGTGATACACCTAGGACACAATGTTCAAGATTAAAAAAAAAATAGATTCTAAATTTATAGTCCTTAAAGTACATGTTTAGAGTCCTGGCTCAGGCAGTAAAATAGCAGTGAATTCAAAGCAGTTGTCTGAATTTTATTGCCCTTTAATCATTCCAAGCTTATTAATCTGCTTGCCTCCTTAGCCATGTTCATCTCTGTTGGAAGTTTTGGAAACTGACTTATACATTTGAAATACTTCAGGCAGTATTTGTTTTAAGGACTATATAGTCTGTAGCTGTAAAATACCTAACCTTGGCTGATTGTGATGATCTCTAAATAAATGCACAGATCTGGCATTGTGCTCTAACTAAAATACTTGCCTCAACTTTTACATGAAGTTATATTATTTTAATGTAGCTAATATAGAAACCCTTCTGAATCAGCAGTCAAACAGATTTGATATAGGGAAAAGTATTTGCTCAATGTGACTATTAATTCAAAGTTTATATTATGGTAAATTTCCAATTTCGACTTTATGACAGCCTATGGTGTATTTCAAGGGAGCTGACAAGGATTTCTGAGGAAAATGTTAAAATTACTGTATTTCATCAGCTGTGGTGGTGTTTGCCTGTAATTTCAGTACTCCACAGGGAGAGATAGGCAGATCTCTGTGAGTTTGAGGCCGGTCTGGTCTATATAGTGCCAGTCTGGTCTACATAGTGAGTTCCAAATCAGCCAGAGCTATACAGTGAGACTCTCAAAAAAAGAATAAAAATTAATATATTCTAATTTTAAAGTTAATTATTTATGTCAAAAGTAGTTGCTTATGCCCACAATCCTAGCATCCAGAAGGCAGAAGCAGGACAATCATTCCAAATTTGAGGTTAACCTGCTTAACA